TATATTTTGTTTTTAATATCTGCCTGTCTTAAGGACAATTTAATTGTTATATAGTTAGCATTTCTACTGTTCTGTAACTCTAAGCTCTTTAAGACAGTGTGTACAGAATGAAAGAAATTATTTGGGCAGGGATTGAGGGGGAGGAAAGAATCAATTAAAACCATAGCTTCTCTTTTCCAATCATAGTTTGTCCGCTAGCTATAACTGCCTGTAAATGACCAAAATCTGCATTTGAGATAAAGGCAAAGTGTTAGTGCTTATTATAGGTGGACACGATGTGATATAACAATGGTGTCTTGAATAAATTAACTTGTTGCTGAGGCTCCTCTCTTAGGTTAGGTTACAGCGTTACTTTTTTGGCAGGATGCAGAATTTTCTTCTGGACCTTCCTTTTAAAGGTTTTGAATATCATTTCCTCCCTTTTCCTGGCTTTTCAAAATTACTTGAAACTGTTCTTTCTGGCAATTTTCCAGAAGAATTACTAACTGCTGAGAGAACTTAAGACACCTTAAGTTCAACTTAAGACGCCGGAAATAACAACTGGACTTTCCTTGGTAAAAGGAAATAAGATTTCTGATTTGGTGGCCTAATAGAAATTTAAAGTTTTGACCCTTTAGTTCTTTTTTCCTGGTGTGTCTGATCCACCACTGAGTATTATGAAAAGCTGTCCTTAAGAAGCTGGAAAATTGTGGTGCTTGGTTTTGTTATGTGGCTCTGCAGATATTTTTAATTCAGGTATTTGTTTGAAGGCATGAGGGATTGAAAGTTTAGAAGAAGGGTGTCTACTTTCTGCCCCCACCATTGTTGTCCTCTCGTCCTCCTACCCCTTTCTATTCTCAGCTTCTAGTTGACCTGGGAGATCGGAAAAGATGCATAATTGCACTCAACAGCTGCGGGTACATTTTTCGGCATAATTCTGGATCCTGTTTTGAATCTCAGGTATAAGTTTCCTCTATCCAGTCAAGTCTGACTCTTAGGGGGCAAGTGTTCATCTCTGTTTCTTAGCTGAGGGAACAGTGATGTCCGAAGACATTTCAATAGTTGTGGCCAGCATGATTATATGTGGAGGTGCACAGAACGTGTTTGTTACCTTCCTACCAAAGGGGCACCTATTTATTCATTAATATTTGCATGCTTTCAAACTGCTAGGTGGGCAGGAGCTGAGGCAAGTAATAGGAGCTCAACTGTCGTGCGGCACTGTCAGCTTTCCAGCTGACAAACTCAGCATCTTTAACAGCTGAGCCATTGAGCCCCAATTTCAATCCCAGATGAATTTGGTTGTATCTCAGGTGTCAACCCTTCAAAGTCGATCAGGAAACATCACAAGAAATGCTAGAACTCGAAATCAATTTATAGCTAATAGACTCTTGAAAATATGCCACTATTTCCCCTTCTTCTATCAAAGAGAGTCAAGGCAGGGCAGCCTTGAGTTTTTCTCATCTCTTCCTGTTTTCTAGGCTAAGCCCATGTTTCGCCAGTGATTGACATGTATCCTCTTCAAAGCCGTCTCCTTGCTCCTCTGCATCAGATTTATGTGTTTAAACAGCCCCAGATGCAATTCTCCTTTAGCCTTTGCTCAGTATCCTATATGGGGAAATGGCCATCTTATTTGGTCTTATCCGCTATTCCATTGGGTAAATAACCTCAAATGTTCTTTGGTTAATGACACATGAATCTATTGCCCATCCCAACAGGGACATTTAAATAGAGTTAAAGATTGCCAGATTGCCACATGCACTAAAATATATTTAGAATATTCCAAGTTGGCTGAAAATTGATGAAATTACTGATGATAATTCATAGAAATGACCTAAAAATCCTTTGGTGGTATTACTTTTATAGGTAATCGAGTTATGAGCATTCTTTTAGTTAAGTGACACTCCCCCAGTTCACTCTGTTGAGTTAAAGGGCTATATCTAGGACGAATTGTATAAGTACTTCATTAACAACAAGAGCTAATTTGGAGTTGTCCTACACAAAAAATTAACATTTTAATGAAATTTTCATCACACAGATTCTAAATGCGTGTCCTATGCCACCCAGAAATTTCTGATGACTTCCATAGTCATTAATGCCTTTAGAGATGAAGAAGAATAGATTCACTGTTTCGAATGGTGGCTAAAATTTGAACATTCAGTATCTCTGCATAAATATGGGCTAGCTTTGGATCTTTTACCTCAGTAAATAAATGAACAAGTATAATGTTTTTGACTCATTTGTTTAACTGGGTTCTTTTTAGTTTTGGGATGTATAGAGAACAGATCACATTTTGGGTCATATTTATGCAGAAATACTGGAAATTCCCTCCTTCGCTAAATCGGGTGTAGGTGTGGCCAGCATGTGACGCATGCAGGCCGTGAGTTTGACAACCCTGGTCTAAAAAATACACATTACTTAGTTGAAGAAGTTTGCCTTGGAGAAATGGATCAATATTTCTACATAGCAGTGCAAAAAATTAGAAACAGGAAATATTTGATTGCAATTTTTTTTGCATTTAAAGATGGTTCACCCAGATAATGAATCTAAGGAGCTAGTTTATTTTTCACACTGACATCTTACATGTTGAATGATGTTAGGAAACGAATGAAACAAAAACCCAACTTTGATGTTAGTGGCTCAGTAGACTCCTTTTATATACCACTGGGATCTACATAACCTTTGGTAACCGTTCAGCAACAAAGATATGCAAACATTCAGAAAGTCCAAAGGGGAACTAGGCTTTTTAACCAGAGGTATAATTGCTGACATGGTTAAGCAAATTCTTTCGTTTAACATATTGGGTGGATTGCTGTCAAAATCGTCATAGTGATATTTTGGATGTATATCCTAAAAGCTACTCGATATTAAAGGTATGTCATTAGAGGAGAATTGTGGCAATGCTGATTTGGAGGGTTCCCACCCCCCCAATATTGTCCAGGAGATACCATAGTTTCTCTTTTTTTCTTTTTTTAAAAAAGGAGGGGGGAGTTTATGAGATTGGAAGTCAACTTCATCAGAAATGTTTTCTTTATAGCTTTTCTTGCTGTTATTTTACATGAGGGTGGGGCTCTTGTTCATTTCCTTCCTTTCAGTGTTCACTGTTAGTTTTCAAGCAGGGGAAAAAGCAACATATGAAAAGAATTGTTTACCTGAAGTAATCCTCCTAGAAGCATTTTTCTGATCTGTGACAGTGAAAAAAATCCTGATTTGTTCAAGGGGCACACGAGTCCTGTATACATTGTCTGGGGCACTTTTATTGTATTATGTTTTCGGTGCTCCTCTTTTTGGTGTTTGAACCATTTGCAAGCTATTGTTTTGTTTGTATAACCTGAAATGTTAGTAGTATCTGCATACAAATGATAGCATGTTTTTCCAGCCAAATAGGCACTGTATGTAACTGGTGAATCTCTTCTCCAACATTACAGTTTATAGTACCAGAAATGTTTAATAAGCAATGTGTAAGAACTCTTGGATATGATAGGATTTGAGGTTAAAATGCATGATCATATGGTTTTAGAAGGATGCCCATTTCATAATTCATCTCAGACTTCCCCCAAGTTGGCATTTTCCAGATGTGTTTGGATTTCACTTCTCATAAACCTCAGCTGAAAAGTCTTATTTTCACCTTATGTTTCATAAAGTTGGGGCTTTCTTCTTTTATTTCTGAAGGATTGTGGTTTTCTTCAGTGTTATTTCTATATGGTGGCTTTGTGATATTCTTACTCCACCGGTATCTGCATACAGTTGCACTTCCATTTCCGCTTTTGTATTGCTGCTACCTCGTAACGTTAGTCTTCGTCTCAATAGACATTTCAACTGTTCTTTCCTGCTTTGTTAAACCAAATACCCCAGGTTTTTTATGCATCCTTTAAGTTAGTGGATTTTAGGTACCTTGATTCAAAATTGTTGGCAGTATAATGCACCATTTGGGCTGGCTTAAGTATATAAATAGGCAAACACATTACTGCAATGAGAATTTTGGAGATCATTTTTCTATTTTTCAAATAGTGACCTACAGTAGGTTTGCTTTGCAGATTCTACAAACACACAAAGATTGCCTTTGTGCATTTCTTCAAAATGATATTCCCATTTTCAACATACTGTATAACAGTAGTTGACATTTAACAAACCAGATGTGTGTCATCTGAAGCTAATCACTGTAGGGAAAACCATCCATTTGAAGCTAACCTTTGAGTTAAGTTCAGAGACAGACTTGCCAAGAACATTGTAATAGCTTGAAATAATATATCTTACTTAACCTGTTTCCCAATTAAAAAAAAACAACAACACTGCAGAATTAACATGAGAATTGAGTGAGACATCACTTTATATACTAAGATACCAAATCCACTTATTACAAAGTCAGAACTAGAAGTTGTTCCTAATGTGATTATAAGCACAATATGTAGACCGATCTCTGAAATACCCAAGCATAGGATGTCTTGGTAATAGGTAAATTAATTTATTTTAAGGTTTCCTGGCTGCTTTTGTTCCAACTGTTAATTTTAGAGGGTTTTTCCCCCCTCCCCATTGTAACTTTGTGTTACACATAAAACCTTAGACATTGTTCTGTACCCTCTAGATCTTGGACTCCTCTGCAGTGGTAGGTCAAATTTGGAAATTCAGATTTTGGCTTGGGAGGTAATTAGCAAAAGCTAAATCAGCTTCGGTCCCTTAACACCCTGATAGAAAAGCATTCAGGAATGACTCCTGGACCTCAGAGATAAGCTGCCAGCTGCCACAGAGACTATAAAAAGGTGGTTCAAAGTCAAGCATAAACAGCTGACTTAAAAAAAGGAAAAAGAGCCTTGGATTGTTGCTGTTGGTGACAGGAAGCCACGTTCCCCAAGCTGTCGGCTTCCTGCTCCCCCTCCCCCAATTCCATCCCACAGCAGATCAGAGCATTTGTCACTAGGCAGCTGTCTCCTTTAGCAAAGCTGCTTGCTGCCTAACCTCAGAGAGGGTGGGTTCCCTTCCTTGAAAATTAGCTAATTAAAGGCAGTATATTTTATTTTTGCTAGTTGGACAGCTCATAAACACATGGCTGGGTTCTTCCAACAGAGTGCAAATTCTAGAAGAGAAATATCAGTGTCTTTTGAAGATGAATGGCATGAGCATACAGGCACTTTAATACTTGGATTGCTGAAAATTGAATGGTTAGTTTTATAGAAGGTAGAAAGATAGTGAACTTCAAAAAAATGTATCATTCTGTATTTTGACATTTTTATCCCTAGTGGCTCTAAAATATTTAATTTGATATAGGGAACTCCAATCTACAAGTTATCTTGTTTAATTAATATTATTTATTAATAAATGCTTTCTTTAAGTATTACAGATGCCTTGATTTAAAAAAAAAAGTTTGGGAAAGGCAAACAAGCGTGGTTGTCCTTCAGAATCTTTTTGAGCTTGTATAATAATTTCAAAAGGTGTATGGCATTTATCTGATTGTGATAGGTCATTGCCCCACTGTATTCTTCTGTACAGTAAAACAACTGTTTTAAAAATGCAGATGTATTAGTAGGAAAGCCTTCCGTCATGAGGGAATTTAGGAGAAATAGTTCAGCCCTCTGGCTAAAAAGCAGTTGTTAGTAAGCTGCCTGGTCAGCTATCAACACTTCCTGTTTTCTCATGAGAATCCAGTTTGTCTGGCGGCATGACAAATTTTTATCCTTCCCCCAACTAAAACGTGTTAATGTGTAAATTTCACATTGGTCTTCATAGTGCCCAAAGTTGCTAGATAGTGAGATGGGCAGCATATAAATGTAATAAGAATAGTTTTTGAAAATATTTAGCAGTTATAAAAACCATTTCTAGTTTTGAATAAATGGATATGGGACAGGTTACAGCAGTGGGAGTTTTGGGTGGGAGTTTGGAATTACCAGGTTTTGATTTCCTTGTGGCAACCTTAAAAACTAGGTTTGTTTTAAAAATATATAGGTTATGAGAGAGTGGATACATAACTGTGTTATGATATGTTAGAAAATAAGCGATCTCTAATGTTGCTAAGGTCTGTGGCCATATCATCTTTTTCCTGTTTGGGGATTATTCTTTATCTTTTAGAACCCTGTTTGAAGCTGATCCACCATGCCATTAGTAACAAGAAATATCGAGCCAAGGCACCTGTGCCGCCAGACATTGCCCAGTGTTCGGAATGAGCTGGAATGTGCGACCAACATCACCCTGGCAAATGTCATTCGACAGCTGGGCAGCTTGAGTAAGTACCATAGCAAACTGCTCTCAAGAGCTGTTGGGCTCCCAATTCTTTCTCGGTGGCCTCTTTCCCTGTGACTTATTTATTATCCATCTTTCTCTAGTACCAAAATATCTTCCACATAATGTTCTCTGAAAGGAATGCACAGGATAGTTGGAGTAAAAGCTGAGAGGAAAAAAATGAGGCACACTGTTAAGCATTGTTCAGAATCCAGGGTTCAGAATTTCATCAGAACATAAAAGGAAGCAATTTAATGATTAGAACTGAACTTAAAACTTACTTCATTGCATACCTGAAATCCCCCAGTTTTCATCTATTACCTTGTTGAATATGTCTGCAGATGAATAATAATAAGTTGGCTATATTTTTTAATCTGATTGGACAATATCTTCATATAAAAGCTGAATAAAACGTGAGATGGAGTAATAAAAAGAGAAATCAGTCATAGCAATTTTTGCAACTGAAGTTACCTTCATAGCAATCTTCATTTTTCCAAGATGATTTACTGAACATACTTCATTTACTCTTTGAAATAAATAATCAAACAGTGATTCTATCCAAGCTGTCAAAAATGTGGTAGTTGAGGTTATTAATATTTCTTATATGCCCAATAACCGGAATTCCCTCAGCAAATCACTTAAAGCATGGCAAACAATCAGACAGTAAAAAGAATTAATAAGCAGAACAGGAATGATTTAATGAAAACCATACAAAACCAACATCTCAATATAATATGAGCGCTTAAAATCAAAAGCCGACTGTAAAAATGTGTAGTTTTTATAACTATATTCCTGTAGAAGAAGAAGAAGGTCTTAACCTGGCATTGATAACACTTCAGTGCAACTGCCTGGTATTCTGTCCTCAGCAAAGCTTTTGACAGAGCCTTATTTGGCAGGAAACCTAGAGACAGGGCACCTAAAGGAGAGCCTCTAAAGATGACTGAGGGCTATTTAAGAATCATCATTTACACATAGTCCTCAGCGTTCATAATCTGAGGGCTCTCTGTAACTGATGGTTCCTTAGCCCCCTCCTCAGCACTGAACAAGTGGTATTTATGACTAGTCCTCAAAATTCCAACCATCAAATAGCCATCCCTACAGTCACATGATCATGATTTGGGTGCTTGGCATCCAGCTGGTGGTTATGACTGTTGCAGCATCCCGCATGACGACCATTTGTGGCTTTCCTTGCCACTTTCTCACAACTTGCAAGGGGGAAGCCGGCAGGGAAGGTCACAACTTGCTTTCATAAGTTGCTTCCACTGATATTCTCCTGATGCAATGGAGTATGAGATCCTAAGAATCTTGTTTTCAGTAGCACCCTTACCCAGCACCTGCGGCTCCTAGCAGCATACCCGCACTCTCTTAGCTTTACATTTTTTGTCATTTGCTAGCGGAAATGCTAGAATTGTGATTTGCTTAACCTTGTGATTCACCTTAGTTGACTATGGCGACTCTCTTAACAACCATCGGAAAAATCATTATAAAATCGAGTCTGCTTATGTGGTGATTCAACAGGAGGACCACAACGCCTTAGTCAAAATTCTGGTCTCAACTGTCATAAGTTGAGGACTGCCTGTATACAACCTGATTGCAATATGCGTGTCTCCAAAAAGAAGGCTGGGTCTTATTTTCTTTTGACCCCTGAAAAAACGGCTAGGCCTTCTTTTTGGAGGGTTCTAATTAGTGACTCATCACATGGTGGCACCAACAGCCCCGCCCAGCAGGAGCCTGCTGCTGTCCCGCTTGTTCTGCGGCCGCTTGCCGCCACTTGCATGCATCGCCCTGGCCTCGGTTTCGCCTTCAGATGCCGGCTGGCATCTGAAGGCGAAACGGAGGCCGGGGCGATGCATGCAAGTGGCAGCAAGCAGCCGTAGAAGAATGTGAGGCAGGTGTCAGGGTGTGTGAGGCCTGGTAAGTAGGGCAGCTCCACCACCACCATCCCCACTCTAGCTTATTTTTTACCTGTGTGCCTCACCTCAACCCCTGCTCCCCGGGGACGGCGGGGTCTTAATTAGGGCTAATTTTGTGGGTGGAGCTTAATTTGACCTTGTGCGCTCAAAAACATGATAGGGCTCCTTTTCAAGGTAGGTCGTCATTTTGGAGAGAGACAGTAGCTTTTTGGACAGGCTGCTGTATAACAAAATCAAGGTGCCATTCTTTCCTGACATAGGAATTTAGTTGAAGTCCAGATATCAGAAGATGGATAGATGGAGAGAGATTGCTTTATACAGTCTAGGAGCACAACTCAGAGCCTTTATTGCTGGAAGTCATATTGCTTACTTACAGACTTCCGTTAGGATGGCTTTCCCTATGTGCAGGGCTGGGCTGCTGGGGGTTCGCAGGGATTTGGGAGAGCCCCTGGCTAAGATTCTGTGCAGTTCAGAGAACCCCCAAATCCCAATCCTGGCTGGCCCCACCCACCCCTCCCCTCCCAGGAGTCCCCACGTAACCTGTTTGGATGTAGGTAAGTGCACGGTGCACACGGGAGGCTTGGGGAGGGCGAAAAACAGGCCTCCCGGAAGTTTGGGAAGGCTGGAAATGGGCCTGTTTCCAGCTTCCAGAGAGCCTCCGGAGCCTGGGGAGGCTGTTTTCGCCCTGTAGTGGGCTGACTAGGCCATGCCCATGCCCACTCAGCAGTCAGGCAGAGAACTTGTTGCTAAAAATTTTGAAGCCCACCCTGGCTATATGCTTGCAAGGATATTTAAATGCACATACTTAAGATTAAGACTTCACTTCTGTGAACACGCATTTGAATTTCCTGTTGAATGAAATGAAACATTTCTGCATAAGCATGCATAAGATTGGGCTATAAATACCCCAGGGTATTGTAGAAGAACTGAAGTTGCAGGCACATTGTGTGTCCATGACACAAAATGGAAAGAAAATGTCTGCTATTTATTTATATGCCATCTTTATCTAAGCAGCAGGAGGGGGAAATCTAATAATCAGGATTTGGAAAATCATAGAATCAAATATATAAATCTCATAGGACCAGTTGTGCAAAGGATATCATTTATCATACAACCATCATGCAGTCAGGTCAACGCTTTGCTTTTTTCTGATGTAATGAAGCAGCGCCACTCTTGAAAAATATAACGCAATCTCATGCAATAAGTTTCACAAGACACCCAAGATTCAACAACAATAAACTTGATTTTGGAGTTTGTGTGAAAAAGGAATTCAAATATATTCACACTCATACAACATTCACACCTTCCCAGAGTTGAGATGACCAAGTTCTGCCTTGATTGGGGAGGATAGTTACGTAGCACAAGTGAAGGCTCGGTCAGTGGAGTCTTACAACTAAGACCTGTCCATCTTATTTTTCTAATGCTTTTGTGCTCACAGTGTCCAACTGCAGCAATGGTGGGTATCAAAATAATTTATCACAGTTCGGTGAGTGTGGTTTGGCGGGCATGTTTGCGCGCCTGCCAAGCGCACACTTTGTGCATGCACAGAGGCTTTCCCACTCACTTCCTGCAATCCCGCACTCTTCCTGTAGCTTCAGCAGCTGACACAGGGCAATCTGCTGTGCCACGCAAAGCAGCTGCACTTCAAAAGCCGGGAATAAAGGTCAGTATGGGAGCCCAGGTGGGTGGGGGGCCCCAACAGCAGCTCGTCAAAATTGGTCTCAGCAGATCTTTGGTGCTACTGGTACGCCCGAACCGGGCCGAACCGGTAGAATAGCACCACTGATCTGCACATTCTTCCCATGTGCTTTCAGCCTTTCGTGGACTTTGTAAGTTGCATGTCAAAAGTGACCTAACCCATGGTAGTTAAATGTTAACATTCTTATCACTGATTGCTGTCCTCCAGACCTTAATGAATTGCTTCCGAGGTTCCATGCAAAAGTACAAGAGCTTCAGATACAGGTGCTGTTCACCTATTTAGAAGTGGGTGATAACCTTGTTTTTTCCCCCCACATTCCACTTGCCTATTAGATTAACTATCCCTAGTGCTAAGTTGCTTGCTGTCTCCCAGAGTTCAGGAAAAGGTGAACCAAAGGAGGCAGCACACAATCTTACCTTTTAAGAGTATAGTTCAAATGCAGAGGTCTATCTACCCTTTTCTGTGTTGTTCTGACTTTCTGTAAGCATGCAAGTAAGCTGATTACACCTCTTCTGTCAGCAGGAACAACCAAACTCTGGTAGTCCCTTGTTTAACTTCACATGTGTATCAGGAGCTCCATCTGTTCCTAACAAGCCAGAGCCAGAAACCAAGTGTCAAGTTGCACAGAGAACCAAAATATAAACCAAAACCTGTTTGTAATTTTAGTATTATACATATAATCTACTTCTGGATGTTCTGGCCTTTATTTACTGAAGGTAGGGATTGTTTTGGTGGAAAGTCTTTTGTTTTACTACTAAACAAACGGGGGTTAGAAATCGTTTCAAAACCATTACGGATCACCCACACATGTCTGTCCATGTTGCATTAGTAGTTCAGCTTGAAAAAGGAAATAGGTTTACCACATCTGTTCTACTGTGCAGTCCCAAATAATGACTAAGGTGAGTCAAGAAGCAACTTCTTCCCCTGCTGAAGATCTGTCTTCTTCTTTGTTCCCTACCCTTTTTGGAAGGAACCAAAAGTTCTGCCTGCAAAGCAAATGTGTGCACAAGACAGTTCGACGTGTACATAAAATGCTGCTTAAACTCTTGAGGTTTGAAAAGGTTGAAATACAGCAGCAGAACAGTCTGGATATTAATGTTGAATGAAAATTGTGGAAGGAACCTTTTCCTGAAACCATTGTGCATTTCTAAGGAAATGGGAGAGGGAGGAATGAGGCAGATCTTATTCTGTTCTTGATTATGATATTTTTTTATTATTTAAATTTGGGTATGATTGAAGAAAGCCAAAACCTTTTAAAGTCTTACTCTTTCTGGATTGTTTTGGAAATGGTACATATATATCCCTGCTGCAGTTAGCCCAGAAAATTTTTTATACATGTAGCACTTTTTATTTGAGCTTGTTTTTCTCTCTCCCTGCTTCACACATACTACAGTGTGTGAATATTATGGATTGTGGAACCACTTCTTCTCATATCTGACATTTGGGCAGTTACAGAGTTTAGGGGAAAGTATGATCAAAAAGCAATATTTTTCAAGATAAAAAGTTTATTGAAAAAGTTGACAATTATTTCATCTGCAGATCCTCAGAGATCCGCTAATTCCCCTGGGTGTTAAGTCTCAATAGAAATACAAACTGAGAGTCAAATAAAATAGCGTGTGTTGCATTTAATCAAAGGTAGTAGCATCAAGGGAGAATTATGTTTGTACAAAGAAAAAAGTGCAAATTTGGCACTATGAAGTATGGAAGAAAACCCTTTTAAGTACTGTGTGACTAAGAGTACTTTATATTGCAGTCTACATTTGGGTATTCTTTCTAGATAGGATCACAAAAAAAATCAATCTCACAGTGATATACATAGTATACATAAGTATAACATACAAATGCATAACTCTAAATGAATTTGCTGCTGAGGTCTTCTTGGGAGTCCACGGGAAACTTCAGGTGTTCCATACGTTTGCTTGTAGACTTTAATTTGTTTTAATTATTTATTTAAAACATTTTTTTAATATCTGCTCCCCATGAAGTTTCTTTTCCAGACGTTTTGTTTGATTTAGTAGAAGCATTAAATCTCCCATACAACATTGGGAACATTATTTTCAACCTTGAAAGTACCTTGCTTTGTTTTCTGGTGCTGCCACCTGCAAGTAATAAATGACTTTGTGCCCAGTGTGAAGGAAAGCAAGAGCGATGGGACCTCCTCTGGGTATCATGTAATGAAGTCAGCCTTTCAGAAGACAGTGGAATAGAGCTCTATTTTCTTTATCCCGCAGACCATATTAGAAGCTAAAAATACCCACGGAATGTATAATGGCCTTCTTAGGAAAGAGAATGGTGGGTTTCAGAGTGTTACAAGTGTTGAATATCTGTGCTTTTCCTCTTTATCGGGGAAACAGGAAGGCACTTCCACACTGCAATAACAGGCGGTTGGGAGGAGGTTCAGGGAATCCCCGCTTTAATAAATGGAAGAAAATAGACTTATCCACTTGCCAAGATTGCTGTAATCTAAAACTTGTGTTATCCTGCCAGTAAATCTGGTTATTAAGCTTGTGAGAATCTTATTTTTTGATTATAAATAGCTATTTGGCTGGGATGCTGCAGTTTGATTCCTGGTTGTCTTTCTTACTACTTAATATGTCTTTACCAATTTTGTATCACTTCCTTTTATTTTGAAAGATGTTCTTGTCAATTTATAGCAGTAGCTATAGCTTGCTGAAGGCAATTGGTACCTCATTACTATTTGTTTCAGATTTGGTTTTCCTGCGCTTTTAAGTATTGTGTTTTATGCTTTATTAGTTTTAGATCATAAATAAGCTTAACTTATGAAAGTACCGTATGTATGTTCACAGTTTTTGTGGGACCTTTTTTTAACAAATGTTCTAGCTTTGACTTATTTTATTGAGGTCAACTTGTGACTACCTGGCCACACATTTAGGGTTGTTGGGGTTTTTTGTTCATTTGTTTTTTGGCAATTGTTGCTTTTTTTCTGGGAATATTTTTCCAGCATTTCAGTCTACATGCCTCTTTTTTTTCTTTTTCAGGTAAATTTGCAGAGGACATATTTAGAGAGCTGGTTACACAAGCAACCACATATGCTGTTCGAGTCACCTCTTTAGTTGAGAGAGTTGATCGCCTTCAGGTGAAAGTTACTCAGTTGGATCCCAAAGAGGAAGAAGGTATATATAAAATGTTATAGTTTTAGAACATTATGGTTCATAACTGCAGCAAAAGACTTTTTTGTTTCTTGAGACTTTGGAAAACCACATTGAATCACCCAAGAGTCTCAGCTGACCCCTCACGCTCGCCCAAGAGATCCTTGTACAAAAGTGATACCTTGCCTTATTTTATTAAGTCACTTCATAATAGCGAGAAGCATAAATGTCTTTTTGCTTACCACTCTATAGAGCAGTGTTTGGCACCTTGAAGATGTGTAGGCTTCAATTCCCAGAATTCTCTATGCTCTCTGAGGAATTCTGGAAGTTGAAGTCCACACATCTTCAAGTTGATATGGTTGGGAAATACCGATATAGAGGAAAGGACAACCGCAAACAGATTTCATTCCAAAGAAGCACTCCTTGCCTTGAGGTCCTCTCCAGCCCTCTCTTCTGAGTAAACCGTAGAATTCAGCTGCTTGTGTTCAGTGTGCAAGTTAACTGCCAACATTTTTGAGAAGAAAAGGGAACACAAGTGTAGAAGAGACTAAGAAACAAACTTGCAAGGTATAGTCACTTTTTGCAAGTTCAGATAGTCTGTTGCAGAGGTGTTGAAGTTTGAATTTTGGGATTTGAAGTCCACAGGTCTGAAAGTTGCCAAAATTGGGTACCCCAATCTGCTGCATCCATTGGATTACTGGTAGGAGGAGGAAGGGAAAGCACCATATTGACCTGAATTTTATTAGAGTCTAGATGTATATAAAGCTATCTTCCTACCCGTTGGATAGTTGTTTCTTTTTCACTTAAAGCTGTTTGAAATACTTTACTTTCTGATTGGTTAAATAATCATATAGGTTTTTGTAAAATTGCCAACTACTCCATTTTCCATGATATTTTTTCAATCTCTGTTTAGCGAGGTCTGGTTTTCCATGTTTTGTTCTGTTTTTAGTCAAAGACAAGCATATACACATAAAATCAATCAAATTAATAATTACAATAGAGAAGATCCAGGAGGCAACAAGAAATTACCTATGGGAATATTGGGTTTTTTTAAAGAAAAGTTTCAAAGAATACAGCCATGTTTGATAATATTTGTTGCCACATTCTCACAACTGCTGGACAAAATTTGGCAAACACTCTGGGAATTGCCTCATAGTTTGCCAGAAAAAGAAAAAAGAAAAACTCTTCACAATCTCTATGTAGTATTTTACTTCGAATACGATGACTTAATTCCATAGCAGTTTGGGTCCTTTGGTAAATATTCCTTTCTACTGGCTTTTGGCAATTCTCTTTTGGGAACGGCATCAGAAAAGAGTTTTTATTTATGAAAGCTTTCTTGGAGGTGTGGCAAAAAGTTTACATTTGTAAACATATTTTTGTGTTTCAGATGACTATTTTATTTCCCATTTCTTTCTCTTCATAGTGTCCTTGCAAGGTATTAATACCAGGAAAGCCTTCAAGAGCTCCACAACTCAGGACCAAAAGCTCTTTGAGAGAGAATCTGCCCCCCTGCCTGTCCTTGAAACATACAGCACTTGTAATAAACCGCCCCCTCTTAACATTCTATCCTCATACAGGTAATATATATCCAGGAGAAATATCATGTTCTTGCTTTAAGCTCTCTCCTCTAAAGAATGTGGAATGGCATCAAATGGCTCGAAAGAGATTTGATAGAGAAAACAGAAAAGCGTGATGGTTGCCATGATACAAATTTATAAACGGAGGATTTGGAAACAACTATTTGTTGATGAGACTAAAATCTTAAAATTTAAAGTTACTTAATTGTGGGAATTAACTGTATCTGTATTTGCATATAAAGAACCACCTTCTTTAACTTTGGTTTGTTGGACAACCCAAAATCAGCCTTCTAAATTAACAAAGACAAAATAGCCTGTTTGGCCAATTTATAGTTGTTTTACTTTAATAGTATTGTATAAACTTCCTATGTGGCCAGCCCAACATACAATGCTTCTCTATGTTCTTCAGGGTGTATAATTTAATGCTGCTTTCCTATTTAACGTTTTGCAATTAACAGTGCATAGATTTGATGGTAGGATTGCTGGAACAACTCGCAAACTAATTCTCTGGGAAATGTAATTGTTGGACCCTCAAACCTGATACTGATAAAATTCTAGGATAGAATGTGATGGCGAAACCAGTTTCTCTGCTTAGCGGTTCGATTCTGCTATATCATTTTATGTGGCATATTTTGGTTTATGATTATATAATGAAAAGCAGGAAAACATAAATAAATGTCTTCTTGTAAAGTAACATATAACTAAGAATATTATGATTGAGAATTACTTGAAGGTAAAGAATATAAATACTTCTTTAACCCATATCCATTAACACCTTTTTTTGAATAGGAAAAATATAATTACAGGTAGCTGGAGGCAGTTGTCTTTTTTAAGAATCCCCTCCCCCCCCACACACACACATTGCCAGTTGTGTGTGTGTGTGTGTGTCCATGCTATCACAAAACGTTGCCTTTTGCATGTTGAAGTCTGGTGCAGAATGGGCTAAAAATTTGCGCTGCTTTTGGTTTACCTCAAAGGGGGAACTTATTGTTAAGAGACAGTGGTATTTTCCCTTATCTCTGTTTCATATTTGGTTGTCAGGTACACACACATAACCATCTCATTCTGTATGGCTCTCCTCTCTCCTAGGGACGATGGCAAAGAAGCACTTAAATTCTACACTGATCCATCATATTTCTTTGATCTTTGGAAGGAGAAAATGCTGCAGGATACCAAGGATATCATGAAAGAGAGACGGAAGCATAGGGTGAGATGTGCGGTGCTGTTTTGGTCATGCTCGTTTGTTTGGTTTTACCTTTAAGAAAAGAGAAGGAAAATGTAGAAGGTTTCCGTTGCCTGACTGCAGGCAACCCTGGATATGGACACCAATCACAGAGCTGGTTGTGTGGGGCTGGTTTTTTCTGGCAAGGGGAGAGACTTCACTCGACTTCTTTTATACATTATATCTGCTTCTGCTCTAGTGCCCTGTATTCTGTTACAAGAATGATATATGAAGTAAATAAGGCAACTTTTTGATGGCCAAAAGCCATATTTATTTTATGGGGAGCTGCAGGCAGCAAAGTAGATGGAACCACATCTCTTACTGTGAGTGGGCCTATTTGGGGAAAGGTGTTTTGAGGTCTTTCTTTGCTTTTTTTTTTTTTGCCTTTGATAACCCTGGTCTGGATTTGGAGTTTTCTTTTATTTTCTAATTAAGAACAGGATGAAATACGCCATTATTTTCAATAATTGTTAGAAGGGAACTCTGCGGGCTTAAAATAATGCCCATCCAGAGTATTTTTTTTGTAACAAAATAGTTCATATTGTTATAATAACTATTGAATGTCCAATGATAGAATTATTTGTACACTTAAACCTGCAATTGAGCAAAGTTAGGATTTCCTAATATGTTACCTGCTACATACCATGTTTCTCCAACAATATGCTCCCCCCCCAAATAGGAAGGCCCAGCACTGTTTTGTAAGCATGTGGTGAAATTAAGTCCCGCCCCCCAAATTTGGGCCTATTTAAAGCATGCGTTCCCTGCCATTTCTCACATCGCTTGAACAACACAAGGTGAAGAGAAATGGAGGGGAAGGGCGGGGGGGGGGGAGTTGCTGTTAGGAGTGCCTCGCGGGTAGCCTCGGCTAGAGCACCCCATGGGCAGCCACGCCTCGCCACCAGCCACTTCTATCGGCCAATAGAAGCGGCTGGTGACGAGGCGACTCTGTGCGTGGGGCACTTCTATCGGCCAATAGAAGCGGCTGGTGGTGAGGTGAGTCTGCCCGTGGGGCGCTCTAGGTGGGAGTATGCGTGGGGGTGAAATTAAGTCACTTGTAAAAAAGCTTTACCTAGATGGCATTTTCCTATGCCCTTAGCTGCATTTTTGAGGATGGAAAATTTGCAGTTTCTAAGAAGTTTTTTCCATCCCCATGATCCCTTTAGTAGCTTCCTTTTAGGCTTTCTATTGGCCGATTTTACCTTACTTAGTGCGTGCCAGCCTTCTGCAATTAATTTGTAGAAATTCTGAATCATCAAATTAAGGTTTGATTTAGCAGTGTTGACATCAGGGACTATTATGTAGCAGTTGCTTGCTTATAGCAAAACAAAAACAACCCCAATCCAGCTGTTACTTATTTGTGTTTTTATATTTGTGTATCTGCCTGTAGCAGGTAAAATGTGATCCTGCGATTGAATTTTTGAAGAATATCTTACTGGTCTCTTTTGTAAAAATGCACATTATTTTTGCCCGTCTGTGGACACCTATTTACAAAGCATACACCTCAGATAAAACATTGATGCCTAAGATCTATTAAATACTAGTGCTTTTGGATAGGTGTAAGCCACCCAGAGTCACCTTATCAGGGAGATGGGCAGCATACAAATTCAATAAATAAAACGTAAGTGTAGCGAGACCTAGTGAGACAACATGTTCCTTCTTATGTATATTTTTATTGAGATAACCTTTCTTTGCTGATGACGAGCTTAAAGAACTAACGGCCCCTACAATTGCTTCCTATTTATTTTACAGAAAGAAAAGAAGGATAATCCTAACAGAGGAAATGTAAACCCTCGGAAGATAAAAAGCCGAAAAGAAGAATGGGAAAAAATGAAAATGGGTCAAGAGTTTGTCGATACAAGAGAAAAACATGGACTGGGAGGGTAAGAGATAAACTGTAATAGTAACCATGGAGTTGTTCCTGTGACCAACGAGGCTAAAGGTTTCTGTTTCCTGAATAGTAGCCTTTCTGGGAAGGGATGTTAATGTGTGTAGTCTGTTTGACTGAGCATGCTCTAGCTCAAAGTGAATAGCTGGGGTAGATCTTTGAATCCTAGCACATTTCTTTAAGGCTATATTTTTAAAAAGATTTTTTTTAAAAAATCTGACTTCTTATCAAACTAGCTTGGGGTCATACTAAGAAAACTGCACTGGTCTGAAATGTAAGTCATCAGGAGTAGTGGTTGATTTGAAAGTGACTTTACTTTTATTACATTTAATGCAGAAGTGCAAGGATTTGAGACCTGTTAAATAATTACTATGTTATTTCATTTAGAATTCATAGAACCTTTTATTTATTGTATAGCCTTGGTGGCTCAGTGGTTAGAATGCAGTATTGCAAGCTGATTCTACCGACTGCCTATAGTTTGATCCTGACCAGCTCAAGGTTGACACAGCCTTTCCTCCTTCTGAGGTCGGTAAAATGAGGACCTAGATTGTTGAGGGCAATATGCTGACTCTGTAAACCACTTAAAGGGTGCTTTACAGTGGTATATAAGTGCTATTGCTATAGGGAGAAAATTGAGCAAAGCAGATTTGATATTTACATAGTAATACAAACTTAACTACACATCTTTGATTTTCCTTCAACAATTTATCTACTGTTGATTAGAACCAATATAAATTGCTATTGTGAAACTAATCTGGAGATTGTTGTTCCTACTAGTGGCTTTAGAACAAAACTGAACATGTTCTGCAAACTACCTCTTACTTAGGATACTATGGCATTTAAAAGAAGAAAATTCTGCCTATCGGCTTGATTTGGGGGTAACTTCATTATCAGAAATATAAATCGTCTACTTTTATTAGGGCCCAGTCATTTTTGCTATAGAGATATCTTGGATATCATGTATTCTTAATTACATTAGCTGGAAACACTAATATGGAATAGTTTTTTTACCCTAAGAAACAAGCATATGAGATAATTCTTATGATCTTCTGCTATTTAGGAGAAAGTAGACATGGTCTTCTTTAGGGGGTCTATCTCCTTATTAATTAAAATTACAGGTTAAAGAAAACTATCCATTTTAAAAACAAATTTCACTGCATTTAGGGGTTACTGCAGTGAAATGTTCTTATCCTGTCCAGTAGGGTAACCTTATAATAAAAGCCTCTGGCAGGAGGAATTCCATTTCTGTCTTTCATTATATCTTAAAAAAAGCCTTTTTGTCAAGGTTATACATAGAGTACATACGCATATACCTTCAGCTCTTCTCCCTTTAGGAAAAAGGTGGGGGGAAACCACAGGTCTAAAATTGCTTCTAGAGTGGCACATCATTTGTGTTGCAAAAGATAAGCCTTTGACAATGTTGGAATAAATGAATGGCTGAACAGAGGTAGGCCATGAACTTTTTTGTGTGTGCCTTCTGAGGTGGTTGGAAGAGAGCTGCCCAGTTACTTTTCCAAGGTCCTCTCCGCATGACCATGTGTGTTTATTTTCCACACATATTTACTCTTGTAATGAACTGGAAATGTCAATTAGGTATCTTGAAAGCCTTTTAAATTGTTTTGGCAAATGGTTGAAATTTGGATAATTCTGCATATCAGTTCTACATCCATCACTTGCAGCCAGGATCAGCTGGCTTGGGAAGGCATAGCAAATTGGTAAAACTGTATGAATGTTAATCTGAATCAGAGTCCTATACCACTGGCCCTATTTTGGTTCTGTTCTTCTGATAAGGGTGCGTGAGATTGTCACCTGGAGTGGTCTCATTTGAAGCAGGCCCAAATGGCTGTTTACCCTTTCATATATATATATTTTTACACTTGCCATTTTGTGTAAGTGTCATGTGTGACATGAACAGATGAATAATCATTTTTGAATAGGAGAAGATTTCTGGTATGATCCATCTATTTTTTTAGAATAGTATAATCTTTGATATATATGAAAATTTATATCTTGAACATTTTGCCTTTGACTATATACAGACCTCAACTTATGACTGCTATTGAGCCCAAAGTTTATGTTGCTAACTGAGATCTTTGTTAAGTGAGTTTTGCCCCATTTTATGACCTTTCTTGCCACAGTTGTTAAATGAAATTGCAGCTGCCAAGTTAGTAACATGGTTGATAGGTGGCCCTGGCTTCCCCATTGACTTTGCTTTTCAAAAGGTGGCAAAAGGAGATCAGAAAAGCCAAAAAAGACCCCAGGACACTACAACTGTTGTAAATGTGAACCAGATGCGAAGCATGCCGATTTTGATCACATAGCCAGGGGATGCAACGGTCATAAGTGTGAAAAATGGTCATAGGTCGCTTTTTTCAGTTCCGTTGTAGCTTTGAATGGTCACTAAATGAACTGTTGTAAGTTGAGGATTACCTGTACAGATATAAAAGTCTAGCCAAGTTACTACTGTTTATATGTTTTGCATATGCTATAAGCATTCTACATTTGAAGTTCCTTTGAACTCTTGGAGGGGAAGGAGCTTGTCTCACAGTGGTCCTTGTGTGGTTTTAGGTACCCTCCTAACATGGTGTATCAGAATGGTAGCATTGGTTCCAATGAGAGTGTTGATGCTGCCTACTATCCACCTCCTCCACAGCCAGAATCTGTTTCACCATCCCCTCCTCCATTGTCAGATGATAGTCTTCCGCCTCCACCAGCAGAATTTAGGTAAGTAATGTATCGCTGAAGGCTCACTAACCATCAGAAGAACTCAGGCAAGACCTTAAAGAGCCTGTCCATTAGAGCGGTCAATAGTTGTAACTTGTCAGAAGGTATTTTGCAAGCAGTACTTAAACACTATGCTAAAACAAGCCGTTGCCCTTTTGTGTTCGTTTCCATTGCAACTCTTATTATGCTTGTTTTATACAGCACTTTTTCCTCCGTAAAAACATTCAATTATTTATAGCCTTGGTGATGGTATATCTTACCATAATTACAAATTAAAGGGGAATGGGGAATTAGTTAATTCCATATTGGGAAGTGCTTTAATTAAAAGGGAAACAGATTCTTACTTATAAAAGATATAAAATATGTGGGGTTAAGAATTTTATTGAAGCAAATGTGGGTGTATCTGGATACTCTTGTGCCTTTTGAAATATGGGCACATTTGGAATATGGAGACCATGTTAAATATGAAGAGCATGTCATAATGGCTATCATCAATTACAAAGTAGGCTTTCATCAGAAAGCAAGCAAAGCATAGGGCTGTTATCCCCCACCCGTGCCCCAATGTTATTTTCTAAGGATATTAGGCCTAGAAGCATATTGAAAGTACTTGGTGCTTTGCTTGTTGCATGCTAGCTGTTAATTTTAAGGGCCAATATGCTGCAAATGAAGCACCAAATGTGTCTTTTTTAGGTTTTTCAAGATTCTTCTCATTTGAAGATTAAATATACAATTAGGTAGGGCAGAGAGCTTCACAAGAACCAAAAAAATGGGTCAGCGAACACATTAACCAGATGCCATGCTGGGGATTCAGCCTGTAATTTGTTTAGCATTGCAGCAAGCCAGAATTCTATAAAGGTGGGATTACAAGGGACATGCATTTGTTGACCTTGATTTTTTTTTAAAAAAAAATGCATGCCAAGGTTATTTGAATGTGGGTTATGTTCAGATTCTTTTCACACCTATGGGAATCTTTCCAAAAGCCTAGGGTTCCAGAGGGAACGTTGAATCTAAATTACAGAATTTATGTCAGTTCTTGTGAGGGATATCCGAGAACGGGAGAAACTCTTTGCTTCCGCTACACTCAAGACGCCCTTTTTCACTGACAGCGTTTGATCCTGTTTGAAAAACTCATTTCAGCTGTTCTCCCCACTCTCCCTTCCACAGCTATCCACCTAGCCAGAGTGTTTCTGGAGGGCTGAAGAAATCCATCCTTGTCAGCCCCAGCCACCCTCCGCCAGATCCTCCTATTAGCTCACCCCCGGGGACCAGGCCTGGCTTTGCTCCACCTCCTGCTCCACCCCCTCCACCCCCGATGGAAGGAGTTCCTCCACCCCCTCCGCTTGCTGGCTTCCAAGCTGCGGTCATCCCTCCTCCACCATCTCCACCCTCCTTCCCGCCTCACCCCGACTTCGCTGCCCCTCCACCCCCTCCACCCCCGGCAGCGGAATATGCCGTTGTGCCATCTCCCCTGCTGCCACAGCCCACAAGTGGGGTGCCGCCCCCTCCCCCTCCTCCCCCTCCTCCTGGCCCATCTCCTTCATCTTTTGGTGGCGTGGGTATTCCGGAGGCTTCTATCCAACAACCCGACTTGGTGCCCTCCAAGCCAAAATCCTCGTTGCCTGCGGTTAGTGAAGCTCGGAGTGACTTGCTTTCTGCTATTCGTCAAGGTAAGCGGCTTCTCGTTTTGGATGTCTGAATGTAAACTCCCTTAAAAGGCCAAGCACTATACCGTAAACATACCCCAATTGGGAGTCATTCGGAGGTTGCTGGGGTTCTGAATTTAGCCAAATGTATTGGAAATCATTTAACCTCATACAAGGTATTTACTGCCATTGTGCATTTGGATTCCTAACCACCAGTGGCAGCTTAACTTTTCTGTTCCATCCATCAAGTTTAAACAGCAGCATTAGCTGCATCCTTTTGACTGGAACTAATTGAAAGTTTAAAAAATGGTCCGACTTCTGTGTTTTGAAGAGAGAATACCCATTGTTGCTTTATACGCTTTACTGTGGCCTGAATTCTACATTTGTTGCCTGCTTTTTAGTTTCTTCCTGAATCTCATTATTCAAATTACCTTCATGTAGCTCACTTTGTCCCAATGTCTTATACAGTAGAATCTTCACTTTTGGCATCTTCCTCACTATATTTTGGCTTTTTCAAAGCGTGTAACTTGCTGAAGAATTCTGTACAACTTGAACGTTAACCTATTGTGTTGGGTTTTTTTCCCCTGATCATCTTAGTTGCTGCTATTTCCCTTTTCTTGGGGAGGCAAGGCAACGCACAACTATTTCACATCATGCTACTTCAGCGTTATGTGTTGCCTTTTTTTCTACACACGCACATATGCACACACAGAAAGAGAGTACCTATGAAAACGGCCACCTGCAACTTCTTTCTTTCTTTCCTTGCCAGGATTCCAGCTCCGTAAAGTTGAAGAAGAACGTGAACAAGAGAAGCGAGATGTTGTGGGCAACGATGTTGCAACCATCCTCTCACGCCGCATTGCAGTAGAATACAGCGATTCAGAGGATGATTCCTCAGAGTTCGATGAAGACGAGTGGTCTGATTAACCCCCCCACCCCCCCTGCACATCCCCAATTTGGGGATGGAGGTGGATAAGATTGGAGAGAAAATGGCCATCACTTCCCAGAATGTCAAACTTTTTTCTCTTTTTTTTTGGCTTTCCTCTTTTTATCCAATAACCAAAGATTGATCTTCCAGGCTTCCAAATAACTGCTTTCCCTCCCAGTTGATGGGACTTACACATCCTTCCAAGAAAGAAGGAAAATGAACCCTAGATTTCCAGATTCTCAGGTTACTATGAAAATATATATATATATTGTTAAAGATTTTCTTTGGTTTAGGACTAAATTTGCAGCTCCTGGCACAACCAGGAAGTGTTGCTTAAAATGACAGGCAACCAACTTGCAAGTAATACTAATTTCCTTTGCAACAGTTATGTGAGGCATTGGAAACACTGTAGTAAGCTGGTGATTCACCTTCTTTGTCCCTCCAGTAGGGTGTAATTTTACATTTCTACTCTCACCAGCCCTAACAATACATTCTTTATGCTAAATTTGGAATGTATTAATTTAGGCTGGAGTTTAAAAAACACTGTACCGTGTACACAACAGGATCATCTAAAAAAAATTTTTAATCTCTTTCCCCCCTCAGTGCCTGTTAAATCATAGAATGAGCCAGGGAACTACTTAACCCATAGTACCACTTAAGTTTTTATAATGAAGATGGAATTTATGCAAAATTAGGAAGAATTTCCCTCCGTGTGTCTTGAATACAAGAGCTTTAAGCTCTGGATGTGGTCTTGCTTTGCGATCAAAAGATTTGCAGATTCTCAATTCAGTAGAAGGTCCTACATGAATCAACTTAGCTGTAAGTGCTCTTTTTCTTTTAATCACATTATGCTAAAAGCTGAGATGTGATTAAGCCTATGACCCTTCTCTAGTCACCACATGGGAGTTTTCATGGACCAACTTGGCCATATGTAATATATGCCCAGTCTTCCTTATTATTTTCCTTTTATATTTCTTTCTTTCTAGCAAACATTTATACAAATAGCTTTTGGGGGGGGGGATTCTCTTCGCCAAGAACTAGTATACAGAATGTCAAAGGGCAGGCCCCTAAATTTATCCAGGCATCCCACTTACTGGAACAATGCTATCACTCTAATCAGAGTGATGGTTTAAATAGGGAACATGCCTACCTATTTATTGGTTTGAAAATCTTTGCCTTGCCATATGCTCTGTTGTTCTTTTCTCACTAGGATGTGCCTTGTAACAGCTTCTACATCCCAAAGAGTACTGCTTTCTTGCTTTTATCCTTACAGACCTTTATTTCAAGTCCCTGTTTTGTTTTGAATTTCTGGTTCCATAGCTATATAGCAGAGCTTTTCTTTAGCCAAAGGGAAGGACCAAACTTTCAGAAGTAGGTAGAAAATTTAAACTATCCTGAAAAAATTCATTTAGTTGGTGGCTTCCTTTGTGGCACTGAACAGCTTTGAGCATCTGATTGGAGTGCGTAACGGATAGGCTGATGGGTAGTTTGCTCATGAATTATAAAACCTTTCAAAACAGTCTATAATATAATTTCAAAAATGACCCTAAGGCTCATTAGTAACCCAGAATTAATATTCAAGTACTAAGAGTAGTGGCCAGCTTAGAAAGAAATGACAGAACTTAGCCTGGTTTTTTGATTTGGTGTTTCATACACGGCAAAGCCTTTAACTTTGTGTGACTGTGCATACTAAATCTTTGTGGATGGCTTCCTCCTAATGGAAGCCACAAGAACATAAAAAGGCCTTCAGGTGTGCATTCAGAATGACAACGGTTACCCACACATGGTGCCAAGAAAACTATATGGCTGTGCCAATGGAATTAGAGAGCCTCTATTTCGTATAACTTTTTTCCTAGCTGTCCCCATAAATGATTTTTTTGTAGATTGACCATATCAGTTTATAATCGATGTGCTGCATAAGGATAATGGGCATTTTTAAGGTAACGTTTAAACAGGTTTGACCTAAGGTTGACATCTAAAAGTTTGAAAAAGGTTCTAATTCTATGTTCCTTGAGAGGTGGGTGTCCTGTACAAAGAGAGTGATTTCTCTTGCCAGCTTTTCACAACCTGATGCCTCTCACTTACAGCTTTTAAATTGCTTGTCTGTGTTGACTAACAATTGAAAACACAGGTACTCAAACATATCCCCAAATTCTGAAGCTAGGGTTGAGTTCGGATGCTAGTTAGTAAAAAGGTTGAAGTTAACTCCTCAATTGAAATCCCTCTTACTGCTTTTTTGCACTTTTAAGATGTCAGACAACCTGCTGGAAAACAATAAGTTGTTACATTGAACATCATGTTCAATAGAACAACCCTGAAAAAAATCATTTGAGAAACAGAAAGCCAGTCAAACACCTTACTTAGCCAGTTGGGCCCCAATTATCAGCCAGGTCATGGAATCCTTAGGTGCTGAGTGGCAACCACCCCTCCTCCTCCTCCTCCAGTTTTAAACAGATCTTCTCCCTGAATTAAAATGAATGAAATCGTCTCTTTGAGACATTCATGCTTGGTGTGAAGCCTCAAAATAGATTTGATTCCATCTCCAGAAGATGGCTTTAGTGTCGCTATTCTGATTTTAGAATAGTTAATTGAACTTAATTGAAGATGCTGTACAGATTTCATTCTCTGAGTTAGTTGGAGTACTTCAGGTTTTCTTACGGCAAATTATCAGCAGGAACAGCTGCTTGGTTCAATGGAAAGAATAGGGTGGAGAAGAAATTCTACTAGAACAATAGTGCTATTGCTTGATTTCTACAGAAAGCCCACCCATTATTTTGTTTCCTTTTTTCCCCCCCTTTTGCATCACATCATCTGAGTAAATTAGTTTTTCAAATTTCTTTCTTTAAAATATATATATACATATATTTTAAGTTCTAGATTGTGCCACTGGGTCTAAAACCTTTTTTCTGCAATGCTGGGTCCAAAATGTTTTCTACAGTCTTTGAAGATCAACTTCTTCCCTTCTCCATCATAGTTGACCACATTATGAGGAAGGACCCTTCAAAATCCCAAGAAGTCGCAAAGCTTTGTGAAGCAGGCATTTGGGCAGAGAGAGACTTAAAATAGGCCTCTTGGATCACACAGCTGGGCAGAAGAGTACTGCGTCCTTTTACCAGACTGCCCGTACTACAGAAACTCTGGGGCCGCCTCTGATTTCCTTTATATGTATTTTGGGAGGGAGAGAGTGACTTTTTCTTTCCTTGTTGCACCTTTTAACATGATTCAGTTTAATTGATTTTAAAAACTAACAATGTTTTATTATGTAGAATAAGTTGACTTCTATAAGTGCCTTATTTCATAAAATATATTTATGTAAGAGTAATTATTTCAAATGTATCATAGGTCATACCTGAACAGAAATATGGAATGTTGAAGGAAGTCTTCTTTTAACCAGGTTTTCTAAATGATCAGTTTGTAAGAAAGAGATCAATAGATTATACCTTAATTAACTGCCGGAGGAAAGAAATGGTTATGGATGCAGCTGTTGGTTTTATCAGTAGAGACCAAGAGCATAAGAATATCAGGCAACAGCCAGCAGGATGTGATTCTAGGTGTTTGTCAGTGTATCCACCATGCACACTTGGTGAAAATGAGTGACCACTCCATGATATGCTGAAAGTCTGCTTTACTGTAAACTCGGCCGTTGTGAGAATTGGCTTTTGGGATGAATTCAAAAGTCCTTAAAACCTAAAGCAAAAAGCGCTATAGTGACCTCAGCCATGTCTATGCTAGAGGCCAGTGATCATCAGGGTGTTCCAGTACAGCCTGATGATCAGTACCAAATTCTGTCTGGCAGGTCTTGGGTGAAGAAGGAGAAGCACAATGGAGATTGGAATTGTCGCTTCTCTTCCACACTGTCAGGCAGAGTTTGGCTCTTCATTTTACTGTCCCTAGTTGCCATTTTTAATCCAAATCTTTTAAAAACTACTTTTTTAACTTCTCTAGTTTTGTCTACCTTTCCTTGAGGGACTCCTTGTAAAGTATATGTGATTAAAACAAAACTTTTTACCATATAAACTTTAAAGAAATGAGAATCCTTTCTAGGCATTGTGTTATGTTTAGGGTTGGATGAATTGGTCACTTTCTGTGACACTTGGTTATAACCTGTTACTGCCATTCACACAAGATCATTTTTTCTTGACTATATTTCCTGGTGTGTGTACAACTTACAAGTCTGAATGTATATGTGCTTTTTGTACACCCTCTCCCTCACCCTACACATTGTTAACAGGTGAGAAATTCACTGGAAAATTCAGTGCAGCTCAAGGACTGCAGGATAACAGTTCCAGTTTATAGGCGTGAAAAATATCATTTAGTATTGCCTTGCAAAACTTGGTCCTGCTGCTATTCCTAATTTTCACTTTCTTTTAAAGGCACTTTTTACCTGCTGCCCTAAAGATCAGAAGTTACAATAGTGGTACAGATGAATATTTGTGTGGTGTTTGGCAGCTCTTTTGGTATCCTTACATTCCACTTTGGATGTGCGTGGCTTAGTGGTTCTGGATACCTCAGTCCACAAACCCTTTGCCCTGGTTTAAAACATCTGGAAACATTGATAAGCTTTCTGGATAGTCTATTAGTATGGCAGAAATCCTTGATTTTAGAAAACCGCAAAGGTAGATGGAAGTGTGCAGGATAAATAGGGATCTGGGCCTTTAGTGGGGTTATAAAAAAGTCTTTTCCTTGAGAGAATATAATGCTAAGTATTCATTTTGTTCTAAAGATATTGAAAGGAATTGCCCAGTAGCTTCCAGTTTTTCTCTCCTGACCACAGATCATCATGTACTCTCAACTTACTGCAAATTCTTTTGGAGACTCTACTATATGTGAATTTGATAAGAATTATATGTTCAAATATTCTTGCATATTGTCACAAGGATAAATAAAGAACCCCACTGATTTTTTTTCCCTGCCAGAAGAAAACGAATACATTTTTAGGTGAGTGAAGTTCATTAGACCTGGAGATAAACGCAGCTTAAGATGTAGAAACTCTAGAAGACTTCTTGATGCCACAAATAGAAGCTGAGCATATCCTGGAAATTATAACTTCAAGATCTAGTTTTCTGCCTCAGCCCTACACTTTACAACCATAATTGAGTCTGGCAATTAAGGTGATGTCATGACAGTTGTAAAGTGGGTCATTATGTGATCGACTCGATTTTGTGAACTTTTCGGGTGGTTAAGTAAATTGTCCAGGATAAGCGAGTGTTGCAATTCAGTGAATGCCATGATCATTAATCTTGTTATTCGCTGTAGGCCAGTTTCTGGCAAAATGTAAGTCGCAGTCTCATCATGCTGAAAATGGCTGTAATTGTGGGACAGTTGCAGAGTGCCCAAGTGAAGTCACGTGACTAGGAACTTTAGAACCAGGTGATAAATAGCTTTGGAGGATCTATCAAACTTGGCAACTTTAAGACTTGTGGACTTCAACTCCCAGAATTCTGACTGGAGAATTCTGGGAGTTGAAGTCCACAGGTCTTAAAAGTTTCCACCCACTATCACCCTTGCTATTTGTATTAACTTTGGAAGTGTTAAATAGAAATATTAGAGACGAAAAGAGTATAAAAGGAATGAAAATTAAAAAGGAAGAATTTAAATTGCAAGCCTTTGCGGACAACTTGGCTTTTATTTTAGAAGACCCTTTAGAAACAGCACCAAAATTATTGGAAAAGATAGAGGCATATGGTAAGGTGGCTGGTTTGAAAATAAATAAAGATAAAACAAAGATCTTGACAAAGAATATGCTACTAAGACAAAAAGAAGAATTGGCAGACCTATTGAAAATTCAAGTCACGAACAAGGTTAAGTATTTGGGGATACATTTGACAGCAAGATGTAGTACATTAAAAGAGAACAATTACATTAAACTTAAACAGCAGATAGCGTTAGACTTGACAAAATGGGAAAATCTACAATTGTCATTAATAGGGAGAATCTCAACAATCAAGATGAATATCCTACCCAGAATTTTATACTTGTTTCACACAATATCAATTAGGCTTGGAAAGGACTACTTTGAAGATTTGAATAAAATTGTGTTGAAATATATATGGCAAAGTAAGAAAGTGAGAATAAAGTTAAAACTCTTGCAAGATGCTAGAATTAGGGGAGGATTTGGTTTGCCTAATTGGGAGTTGTTCTATCAAGCTACAAACTTGATGTGGACTAAGGAATGGATAACAAAAGTTGCCAAGTTTGGGGACCCCTGGTCTATCAAACTTACAATGGTCATTAAGTAACTGGTTGGAAGTTGAGTACTACTTGCAATAGAATTGTTTTCTGCATGTTTCCATTTAGACTGAGATTCCTCATGCCCTTTCCCAGTGTTTTGTTCAAAATATAATTGCTTGTCTTTCAATCTTGTATAAGCATGATAATGGGTGTGCAACCCAATCCAGTCATTCCCTCTTTCTATTTTGGTTTCATACGAGTGCTATAAGGACATACAAGCTTATTGAAATGAAGCCATGGGGTATCTAACTTAATATCTGATGTCTTAACATGATCAGCCTTCTATATCTGGACAGGTTACCATCAAAAACCTTTGTCATGTGAAGCGGTAGTAAATAATGCAGTTTGAATGCTTAAAGAATTACTGTATTACTTTCCCCAGATTTGCCATATTTAACTTCAAAGGGTAACTTATTCTAGTGTAATTGGGGGCAAGAAGGAAAAATATCCATTTTTGTTTTATTTCTTCCATGCCTTTTCTCTCTCAAATTAAAAAAATACAACAGTCCTCTGCTCCTTCTCTCTACTCTTCATGGAAATAAGTAATTAAAAATATATGTGTTTTCAACATTTTCAAACAATGTTTGGCTCAGAGTTAAAGAAGTATCACTTGAAACAATATCAGTGCCGTTAAGCCGAGGGCTTTCTTTGAGAGCCAAGTTGGTGTAATGTTGAAGGCATCAAGCTACAAAACTGGGAGACTGATTTGTTTTGCTTTAGGCACAAATCCAGCTGGGTTACTGTGGGCCAGTCACACACATACAGCCCTAAGAAGGAGGAAATGGCAAACCACTTCTGAAAAACCTTGTCAAAAAACCTGCAGCGATTTGTCTAGGTGATCTCCAAGAATCAGGCACAACTGAAAGATGTTTTTTAAAAAGATACTTTTGGTATAATTTTCCAAAATAGACCGTAGTGATTTTCTTTTTTAAAAAATTGCCACCAGTGCTGAATATGTGGGAGGTTAGCACTTTTTTCCCCTATTGTTTGATGGGATGATAACTGTTCTGTAGCTCTGCTGTTGACAAAACTAAACTTGATTAAGCCATTAAATGATTCAGCCTATTTAAATACTGTTTGCATTTCCAATGGGTGAAATAAGAAGATGGATGCAGTGTTTAAAAATGTTTCCATAGTGGCTAGAATACCATGCGGCACAAATGCAACAGCTCGGCTCTTTAAAATCTGCCTGTGATGTTAAAAGCCTGTCTCCTCGTGTGCGTGTGTGTGTGTGTGCGTGCCTGCATACACACAGTGATGCTTTGGGGGGAGGGGAGCTCTTAATCGCCTGGATTAAAGTGTACAACAGCTTGACAGGTCTCTCCTGAAGTGGTGGCTTTAATAAGCTCAGCATCACTCCCAAAAAAGCCCCTCCCCAAGATTGCAGATTTCACTTCCAGGAGGAAAGCCAAACGGTTTCAGCGTACAGAACCAAAGGAATCTTCTGAGCATAAGGGAATGATTTCAGTGGAGTTTGTTTTTGAGTCTCACCATTGCCGGGTCTCTGGCCCAACCTGTGCATGCTGGGGCTGTGCAGCTGCAAACCTGTGATTGGCTATCCCCACTGCAGTGAAGCATGGCTTGAAACACTTGGCATGAGCTAAAATTAAAACCACTGTGTAGCATCCGTTTGTGTGCTACCCTTCATGATCAGACTGGTTTACAAAAAAGACTCCATTTAGGAGTTCTTGACTTAATGGCCACAACTGAACCCAGGATTTATGTTGCTTAGCGAGACAGCAAATTTTGCCCCATTTTGCAACCTTTCCTGACACAGTTCAGTGAATCACTGCAGTGGTTAAGTTAGTGACATGGCCGTTAAGTGAATCTGGCTTCTCCATTGACTGCTTGTCAGAAGGGGATCACTACACCCATCATAAATATGAGTCAGTTGCCAAGTGTGGATTTTTATCATGGGACCATGGGGATGCTGCAGCAGTCATAAGTGAAAACTAGTCGTAACTTTCTTCAGTCGTAACTTTGAATGGTCACTAACTCTTGTAAGTCAAGGATTACCTGTATAAAATTAGACAGCTGTAGCCAAAGTATCGCAAGAAATTATTTAGGAAAGAAGCTAGAGTCTTGACATTCCCTTCAATAGGCTGCCATATGTTCACACGCTTGGGCAGGGAGGGGGCCAAGATGTTTTCTTTGCCTTAAAACAGGGGTCCCCAAACTTGGCAACTTTAAGACTTGTGGACTTCAACTCCCAGAATTCTCCAGCCAGCCAAGTTTAGAGACCTCTGCCTTAAAAGAAAAAAAAGTAGGAGACGACAATGACTGCAAACTTCTCAACATAGGGCAAGGCGAATGGGAAAGTGCAATCAGCACTTGGACAGCTCCCCCCGCAGGCCGTTCAAGGGTTCCCTTCTCTTTCCAGCAGTCTCAAGCATATACTAGAGAAGAGACTGCTTCCTTGGGCAGATGGAGGCTAGTCTTAGCCATGATGGTCAAAGTCAAGCCTCACAAATGAACACAAGGAGAACCTCTCTCCAGGTTGAAGAAGGAGCGCTGATAGCGATTTGGTCCAAAAGAATAAGAGTGCAGCTGAGAGAACGAGTGGCAGGAATGGCAATAGCACTTAGACTTACCTACCACTTCACGGTGCTTTTACAGCCTTCTCTAAGCCCTTTACAAAGTCGGTGTATTGCTCCCAACAATCTGGAAGAAGAAAGAAGCAGCTCTTGTCATCTTGGCAGCAGCTTCTCGCACCCCACCCACCCAATTGTGGCTGACTGTTGTGTTAAACTGGATCCATCCGGTATAAGCCTCTTGTTATATTTTGTCTGTTAGGCTAAGTTGTGTGGCTTGTTGGTTTTAGCATATGGGCCTACCCATTGTGGCTCGCAAAGTGTCTTTTTTTATTTGCATGTTGGGCAAATAATAGTAGAACAATTGTTCAGTAAATGATATTTAGTGAAACATTTTAATTGGATCATCTTTCCCTGGTCCTTTCAAGAAATACTGGCCTCAGTATCAGCATCATCCCCACCACCCCAGTTGGACAAGCTTCTCGGCCAATACTGAAAACTTTAAAATGTCAGATTTGTTGAACGTGGTGTGGCAGGTGCAAAGCAGACTATACTTGCTCTTCTGTGTGTCTACTCCCTTGAACCAGAAGCGCTGGGAATCAGCAGGAAGAACTTGATGAGCTCACTGGCTGTGTGCCATTCTTAACTAAGCCTTGATGAGAGCTTGCAGGTGTCATGAAAGAACCTAAACCAGAAGAAGGCAGTTGCTGAAAACTTGAGGGCTGCAACTGGTCTCTCTATCCCCATGATGGCAAACCTATGGCATATGTGCCAGAGATGGCATACAGAGCCCTCTGTGGGCACATGTGCCATTGCCAGCTGCTCTGGTTTCCGGCCAGCTGGTCTTCACGCCCCCGAAAACAGGCTGTTTTCTGATCTGTTTTTCAACCCATTTTTTTACCTTTTCTGGGCCAAAAACAGCCTGAAATGTGGCCTGAAAACAGCCCGAAAAATGGCCTGGAACGGCCAAAAAAAATTGCACTAAAAACAGGTACGTGCATACCAGCCAGCTGGTCTTTGGGTTGCCAGTGATCCGGCACGTGCATGGATGCGCGTTCCAGTTTGGGCACTCAGTGCCGAAAAGGTTCGCCATCACTGTTCTATCCTCTGCTGAGCTGAAAGGGGGCCACTCTGTGAAGATGCTCTAATGATGAAGCCATGTTTCAAATGTTTTAATTGGAAACAGGAAGCTGCAGAGATGCAAATTGCTAATATTAACACCTGAACTCCCCAATTCAAGACAGTCCCAATACTTGTTCCCAAAGCAAGTAAATGCGTTAATAAATTGCATTAATAAACTATGTATTAATAAACTATTAATAAAACTAATTAATTTTGCCCCATTTTACGACCTTTCTTGGCACCATTGTTAAGTGAATCACTGCAGCTTTTAAGTTAACAACCCGGTTAAGTGAATCTGGCTTCCCCGTTGACTCTGCTTGTAAGAAGGTTGCAAAAGGTGATGGCATGACCTTGGGACTCACTGCAACCGTCATAGATATGAGTCAGTTGCCATGCGCCTGAATCTTGATCATGTGACCATGCAGATGCTACAATGGTTTTAAGTGAAAAGCAGTCGTAAGTCCCATTTTCCAGTGCCGTTGTGATTTTGAACAGCCACTAAATCCGTGATGGTGAACCTATGGCACGCGAGCTGCAGGAAAACCTACCTCACTGGGCATGTGTGCGCCGCACAGCTGATTTTCGGCTGGTTTGAGGCCTTTTTCGGGCTCCCAAAGGCCAATAATAGCCGTGTTTCATCACTTCCTGTTTTTCTGAAAATACCGGAAGTGATGAGATGGGGCTAGTTTTCAGCTTGCAAAGCCTGCAGAAGCCTTCCTCAAGCCTTTGGGAGCCTGAAAAAGGCCTCAAACCAGCCGAAAATCATCTGTGAAGCACAGTGCAGGTAAGGGGGTGGCGTGAGTGGGTGGGGATTACACGTGTGTGCGTAGGGGACAGGGGGGGGGCATGCATTGCCTTCTGGGTGCTGGAACACGAGCGTGCAAGTGTGCATGCAATTGTTGGCATAGGAGCCCAAAAATGTTAGCCACCACTGAACTAAATTAACTGTAAGTCAAAGACTACGTGTAGTATGGGGTGGGGCATGCAGTGGGTGTGCCAGCAACTTACTGTTCCAGGAGGAAAGGAGTCTTGTGACACTCCTTTTGTGCCACAGATCTTTGTCCCTGGATTGTGCTTTTAGCCTCCACAGATCAGTTTAATTTCTCCTCGTGAGTTGATATTAACAATACCAAGATCAAGCAGGCACTGCCTGTCCCCTCTGATGTCATGTTTTATCTCCCCCATTGCCTTAATTTCCCTTCTGGGATCAGAGGCGAGATGAAATATTGTCAGCTCCAATCAATGTTATAAAGGGATGCTTTTCCACTTTGTGGTGTGCTGTGTCATCCTGGTTGTTGGCCAAGTTGTATTATTCAGGCACCTGGAGGGAAAAGGGCAGAATATGCTGCAAAGAGAAGAAGTGTGTTTATGTGGCAAGGGAGGCGTTCGGACAAAACTTCCTTGTTTGCTCCCTTTTCCAAAAGCAACCTTGTCGCTTTGCTGTTCTAACCCTCCGTAATCCTTGCTTCCTGCCACTTGAAGCTCTCGTTAGGCCTTTTAGGAAAAGCCCAGCTGAGCTTTGTCAGAATGGCTGACATTTTGACGGTGGATTCGGCAGCTGACTCGGTAGAAACACAAACAACTTTTGAGCCAAACTGGGCTTTGTTGCTAGCCTGCCTCTTCCCCCCCACCCCCCCGTGACCCCTAATCTGTTTTCAAATCAGTATGCCAGAGAAACTTTTGCTATCTGGTAGTTTTGGTTCGGTAGAAGGCTCTAATATGTAACCAAGGCCAACACCCACATGCCAGAACAGAGCAAAGAGCTATTGGATTAAGTTGAGTCAGAAATGTTAAGCTGATGCAGCAATAGAGTCACTCGACAAGCCCCAAACATTTTTCTTCTCT